GCATAAGATAAAGGAGTTTGAAAAGCAAGGCCCTTTCCAGTATCTCTGGCCATGGTGGTGTTTGGAAGTGTGAAAAATCTCAGGGCAACTTTGACCCTTAATGTCTCTAGAAACTTGCTAGAAATCTGGTGAAAACACTGGATTTCGCAGTTTATGAATAATTTTCTGATTACTCACTGTTCTGGGATCCACTTCACTGAGATCAAGGTTACTTACCTTGGACATAGTGAAGGGACAAGGACATCATGGTGGAGAAACGTGAACCAAAACCAAATGTTCTTAGGTATTGGGGGTTCAGTTGAGGATACCAGCTTAGACTCACCTTGAAAAACTCAAGTGTCAAGCCCTGTTTTCCACGTCATGTACAGACAGAGGAGAAAAGGCATGGTTCCCATTAGCAACAAAACCAAAATGCCCTCGGGTCCACTGCTGGTTTCCTCCTCCAGGCAGAGAAGCAACAGCTACAAATTGCTGCTCCATGCAAAGAGGAGCCTGGGTGCTCACGCAGAGCTGTTTGTTGCAGCAGAGTGGAACAGGAGGCTGCCTGTGTGGAACAGGTCCCCCCACCTCCACAGCAAGCTGGGCAAACCCTTCTGGTGGTGGGACGAGCCACAGCTACAGCACCCACCCAGATAGCTGTGGCTTCCCAAAGCTTCCCAGGCATCCTGGACTTGCACGGGACAGCCGGGACCTCCCCTCCCTGGTCCCAGGGAAGCTACAACTTCACTCTGACCTCCCTCAGGCCCAGCAGAGAAGACCATGCAGGGGCAACATCAGCAGCACAGTGTTGTTGCTGAGATGCTTCATGCCCCCTCTAGCCTGCAGCATGACTTGGGGAACAGTGTGAGGAGACCTCTCAGTCCTTCACTGGGAAATGACTTGGTGAAGAGGCTTGTAAAACAAGAGGCTGATTTTGACAAATTCCGGCAGCTTGACCAAATGCAGAGGAACCATCCCAGCTCTAGCCTGGCACTGCCAATCCCTCCCAGCACTGAAAACTGTGCCACACTGCAGCAAAACATTTGGTTCAATATACTCCTCTAAGATGTTGACTGGAGGTGGCTTTGGAGCTACTAAACATCTTAGAATCACACTGGTTTCCTCAGATGTGAAACAGGGCATTGTACTGTGCTTTGAAACCTGCAGATTAAATCTGGGAGATAACTCACCTAAAATCTGAAGCCAGATGAAATTTGTCAGGTCAAGAAGCTTTAAAAGCTTCTTCTCACTCAGACGCAGTATTTCATAGAGCAAGCTGTAAAACATCTTCCCAGCAAGGCTGTATAAAATGAGTATATTAAGCAGGGATTGTTTCACCTCTTCCTTCAGCTGCTCCCCTGAGGTTCAGTCTAAGAGACTGAAGAAAATGAAAAGAATGGGAATTGTAAGAATATCCCACGCCACTGCCCCTTGACAAACCTCTTCCTCCTCAGTCACTAGGTGGGAGCTGAGCAGACCCCAGCAGGCCACGTTGCTGCAGGATGCATCACAACGACCACACAGACCAACTACTATCAGCAATATTCTTTCCACCCAAGTAAACTTGGGGAACCCCAGAAACACAAAAAGTGAGGCAAAGAGCACCCATGACTTTAGCTAAATGATAA